AGGTTTCTCATTCAAAACTACGGAGGCCAGAAGGACATAACACAACCTTTTTCAAGTATTCAAACAGAAGAATTGTCAAGCCAAAATCCTGTATCGAGGGAAAATATCCTTTAGGAATGAAAAGAAACTAATAACCAAACCATTCTCAGACAAAGGAAAACTGAAAGAATTTGTTTCTAGCAGTCCTACCCAGAAAGATGGCCTTTTAAAGGAAATTCTTTGAATAGAAAGGAAATCTAAATTAAAGAAGAAATTTGGAGGGTGCTTGGGTTGTAGCTCAGTGGCAGAGCGCTTGCCTAGCACCTGTGAGGCACTGGGTTTGATTCTCAGCACCACAGAAAAATAAATAAATAAAATAAAGGTATCGTGTCCATCTACAACAACAACAAAAAAATATTTTAAAAAAGAAGAAATCTTGGAATAGTAAAGAGAAAGAACATGATGAGTAAAAATGTGTCTATCTGTAGGAGACGTCCCTCAACAACCACAGACTACCAAAATTCAACCAGTATGAATTAGATAACCTGAATTGATCCTATAAACATTAAGGAAATTTAATTTTAAAAAATTAATTTAAAAATTTAAAAGCTCTGAAAAAGAAACCTTCAGGCCAGATAGTGTCACTGGAGAATTCTACCAAATATTTAGAGAGGAATGAAAACCAATTTTATACAATCTCTTTCAGAAAATTTGAGGAAAGAACACTTATCAGTTCATTTTATGAAACTAATAACCAAACCAAGAAAGATACTAAAAAAGAAAACTGTAGGCCAGTATCCCTTAGAGTTTAGATGTAAAAGTCCATCCCAAAATATTACATATAAAATGACTTATATATCATGAACAAGTGGAATATATTCCAGTCATGCCTTTTGGCTCACTATTGGAAAAATCTATCAGCATGATCTGCCCTATTTCAGTCACAGGCTAATAAAGAAAAATTACATGACCATATGAATTCAGAAAAAAACACCTGACAAAATTCAATATCCACTGGGCATGGTGGCACACACCTGTAATCCCAGCAGCTCCGGAGGCTGAGGCAGGAGGATCGAAAGTTCAAAGCCAACCATAGCAACCTAGAGAGGTGCTTAGAAACTCGAGACTCTGTCTCTAAATAAAAAACAAAATAGAGCTGGGGATGTGGCTCAGTGGTTGAGTTGCCTCTGAGTTCAATCCCTGGCTACCTCCACCCCCCCTACCCCCTGCAAAAAATCAGTACCACCCATGAGAACTCAAAAGAGGAACAAAGAGGGAACTTCCTCAATTTAACACAGAATACCTACCCCAAGAAATCCATAGTTAACACTACAATTAGTGGTGAAAGACCTGAATGTGTTCCCATAAGACTGTTATTCAACTTAAAGGTTGAAGCTTCCAAAAGTGAAGTTAGACAAGAAAAAACATACAGATTGGAAAGTCAGAGATAAAACTGTCCCTATTTTCAGATGAATGTCTTATTGTCTTTGTTGAAAATCCCAAAGAATCTTAAAAACAAAAAACCCAAAGTGGGAAAAAACCCTCCTTGGATGAGTAAGCTCAGAGAGGTCACAGGATCCAAGAGCAGTGTACCAAACTCAGTTCTGTGTCATAGAGTATATATTAGAGGAAACATGTGGACCTCTGAATTAAAAATAGCATACCATTTACAATTACTCAAAAGGAAAAATGAGAAATTGGTATAAATCCAATAATGTAAGTGTAGGGCTTATAGAGTAGAAACTACAAAAATAGTGATGAAGAAAGAAAAGCTCCAAGTGGAGAGACATTCTGTTTCACATGGATTATAAAAGGTCAAACAGTGAAGATGTCCGTTCTCCCCAAATCATCATGTCAGCACAATTGCTGTTAAAATCCCTGCAGTGACTGAGTGTTTGCCTAGCATGCTTGAGGCCCTGGCTCAATCTCTAGCACAGCAAAAAAACTTTAAAAATGAAAAAAGAGAGAAACAAATCAAGAATAACAAAAACTCAGCAAGCGTTTTCATAGATAGAGGCAGGATTCTTCTTTTAAAAGGTGTATTGAGGTGCGTATCTGCGTGGTATGGCATGTGCCTAGCCTGCTTGAGGCCCTGGGTTCAATTCCCAGCATTATGACAAATAAAAGCAAACCCACCACTCTTTTTCCTAAGATCTCTTTCCTCTAAATTTTTCAAAACAAGCCCCCCAAACAGTCCCAAGCCAGTCCATGTTGTCTGTTTTACTTTGCTACCCGGTGACCTCAGACAGATACTCCAAAGAGTATAGTATTTCTCTTCTTGTCCCTGTCAGGGGTCATTTATGAGAACTTGAGGACTGGATTTTACTTCAAAGATGTTTTAAAACAAAACTTTTTGTAGCTAAGATGATGAGAAGACAAGCTAAAATGTTTGCAAACCGCATATCCAGCCAATTGCCTGCATTTAGAACATCTAAGGAACTTGGAAAGCTCGGTAGTTGAAAAATGAATGGTGACAACAACCACCCAAAATTCACCTAACCATCCAGTCAGAAAACCAGCAAAAGACAGGAACATTTTCACTGAAGAGAATATACAAATGCATAGAGGCATATGAAAAGCTGGCTCAATATTGTTAAACACCAGAAAATGAGAATTAAAGCCAATACCCTTTCAGGGGCTAAAATAAAAACTAATGATGACAAGCTGGCGAGGTGCAAAGAAACTGGATCTGGATCACTTCTGTTTTGCTGGTGGAAATGTGAGGTGGTATAGCCATGCTGAAACACGTCTTGGCAGTATCCTTTAAAATCAAAATGAGCTGGGCACAGTGGTGTAAGACTGTAATCCCAGCAGCTCAGAGGCTGAGGCAGGAGGATCACAAGTTCAAAGCCAGCCTCAGCAAAAGCAAGGTGCTAAGCTTCTTAGACCTTGTCTCTAAATAAAATACAAAAATGGGCTGAGGATGTGGCTCAGTGGTTGAGTGCCCCTGAATTCAATCCCTGATACCTGCTTTCCCTAAAATCAAAATGACTAACTGGCGTGGTGGTACACACCTGAAATCCCAGGAGCTTAAGAGGCTGAGACTGGAGGATCACAAGTTTCAAGTCAGCCTCCGAAACTTAGAGAGGCTCTAAGCAACTTCATAAGACCCTGTCTCTAAATAATGAATAAAAAAGGCTGGGAATATGGCTCAGTGGTTAAGCGCCCCTGGGTTCAATCCCTGGGACCATAAAACAAAAACAATACAACTAAACATGCAACTATAATACAACCCAGCAGTTGTATTATACTCCTGATATCCCAGAGGAATGAAAGCTTATTGTAAAGGAAAACCTTTTTCTTTCTGGGTCCTCACAACTATGGAAAACTATTTCAACTCTCAGTACTTTATTTACTTCTGGTCACCAAACTGTAAATTTTTTCTCACATTGACCATTATTGCAATTTATTATTCAGCAACTGCATGTCTTGTGTTTCAGTTTGATTCTGACACTGTCTGGAGGCAGCACAGGCACCGTTAGTTAAGGGCTCAGTTCTTAACTGTCCCCACTTCATACACCAGTCATAAGGAGTGGGTCCTTAGGTCCACTCACAATTTCTTTCTGACTTGGCTACAAAGTGGAGGTCACCATGACCACCCCCACCTCCTTAGGGTGAATCAGTCGCTAGTGGGGCTCACAGAACTCAGGGAAGCATTTACTCATGTTTACTGACATGATACCAGATAAAAATGGACACCAAATGAGGAAGTCTATAGAGTCATGTTAAAAAGGGTCCTAAGTGTAGGAGTTTCTGTCCCTGGGGAGTTGGGACGGGCCATCTCCTGACACATGAATGTGTTCACCAACCCAGAACCTTCTTGAACCTCACGTCTCAGGGATTTTTATGGAGTTAATCAATACTCATCTCTGGCTTCTCCTTTTCTTAAAAGGAAGAAGGTGGGGCAGGGCTGAAAGTTCTAGGCTTTTAATGACAGGTCTTTCTGGAGTCCAGCTCCCAGGAAGGAGCCCACTAAAAGTTGCCTCATTGCAACAAAAAAAATGCTCTCACCCGGGAAATTCCCAAGAGGTTTAGGAGCTTTGAATCAGGGACTGGGTTGAAGAAAAAACAGTGGAGCAAAAGATACTCCTACACCTTTAGCACTTACGGAATTATAAGAATTTTGGGAGCTCTGTGTTGCAACCAGAGGTAGGTAATACATGCTCACACATACAGTTATTATTTCACATTTATGTTCTCACAAACCTATATGTGAATATGTATGGCAGCTTTATAAGTAAGAGACAACTGGAAACAACCCAGATGTCTTGAATGATTAAAAAAATCCCAGAACATGGAGTATTACTCAGCAACGAAAAATAAGTGTTGTTATAAGCAGCAACCTGGATGAATCTACAGAGAATTCCTAATGTAACATAATTTGAAATGGTGAAATGGTCGAGATGGAGAATAGATTAGTGGTTGTCAGGGGTAAGAAGAAGGTAGAGTAGGAGGGAAGTGGATGAGACTGAAGGATCCCTGTGGTGTGTCTTGATCCTATCAATGCAATACTTGGTTGTGATATTGTACTGTACAGCATTGTACAGGAGTTTTGTATGATGTTACCATGGCAGGGGATATTGAGTAAAGGGTGTTGTATCTTACACCTGCGTGTGAATCTATCTCAAATGAATTTGCTTCATTATGTTAAAATAAAAAAATGGAATTGAAAAATGATCAAATATGTTTTTTAAAAAATGTAATCAATACAGAATGGTGTTTGATGAAAAATGAGCATTCTTCCTCCCCCACATTGCTTCCCTTAAGGCAAGTTCTGCTGCTGGTTACCAACCACATTGTGTTTCACCATTGTCTGAATTGCTCTATTTCAGAATTGGGTGTTGCTTATTTAACATGGACAAAATTAAGGCTTTGGACGTGTCTGATTATCCTGACCATGACAATTTGTCCGTGTCTCACGTGGGATCCACAGGGCATAGTCCCATCTCTCTGTTCCCTGAGAGAGGCAAAGCAGGTGATGGCTGGCGCAGCTTAAATGTGCTTGTGTGAACTCCTGACAGGAATCGAGCCCACTGGGAACATGGTGAAGCAGCCAGCCAAGTTCACTGTGGACACCATCAGCGCCGGGCAGGGAGATGTGATGGTGTTTATCGAGGACCCAGAAGGGAACAAAGAAGAGGTATGTTGGAGGACACTGCCTCTCCCATCCAGAATCCCCTGGAGACTAGAGATCTTTAACAGGTTCAGGGTCGGTGCCTCTGTTTTCTACATTTTAGCTCATAATGAAAATGTACTTTATCGAAAGGATACTGAAGCTCACAGTGGCTAAAGTAACTTTCCTGAGAGCTGTGCTTTGAAATATAATAGAATTTTTGATTCCCAAGGGCACAGTGTTTATTAAATAAAGAATGCTTTGGATTTGGTAAAGACCTTCTTAATTGAGGTGTTAGATTCTGGGAATTCTTGTTCCGTTCACTTTCTTCCCATACTGACCTGTCTTTGGGTCCTTTCTTAGGGCCTTTGCATATGCTCTTCTTGCTATTTGCTTATTTTCTTAGGGCCATACTTTATTTCTAGCATTTAGCACAATTTGAAATTCTAAGCTTACTGATGTATTATCTATTTTTCCCTCTGGGGTAGAGACATGCCCAACTTGCTTATTGTTTTATCTGGCATTTCATAAGCTCTTAATAACTTCTGAGCTGACAAAGATTTGTGTTACTTGCTTCATATTCTGTCTCATCTGGACAGTGCCAGCCCTGAGACAGTGAGTCTTGAGTTGGTGCCGCCTGGTCTTGTTGCTATGACTTTGGGCTGCTTCTCTCCTGGCATCCTCTGCAGGAATGGTGGGGCAGGAAATAGCAAGCGCCTCCAGGGTTCCTGCTCTGCCTGCCTGCTGCAGGATTTGGCTGGCACAGCATGCTCTTTACTTACTCCCAGCACCTTCTCCAACTAATTTTCATCTTCCTTCCCAGGCACAGGTGACCCCTGATAGTGACAAGAACAAGACATACTCTGTGGAATATCTGCCCAAGGTCACTGGACTGCACAAAGTAAGAAGAGGAGCCATGGCTCTGGCTTGGGCTGCTGTTTTGGCCTTTTTTTGGGGGTGGGGGATATATGCACAAGAGAGTTTAGGAAGTAGAGTTTCTTGGATCATGGTACTAGAGGTTAATCCTAGGGCCTCTCTACCATGGAGCTATACACCCCAGCACAGAAGAGTGAGGGTTTTTTTTTTTAAGGTTGGTTTGAATTTTTTTTTGTATGTGTGGTGCTGGGGATTTTACCCAGGGCCTTGTACTTGCAAGGCTGAGCTATATCCCCAGTCCAGAAGAGTGGTTTTCTTGAATTAACGTCAGTTATCGAAATATCCTTGCTCATTGTAGATAATTTGGAATCCCTGTGAATCAGTCTTGAGATATTAGCCAATTATTCTTGAGATATTAGCCATTGTTGAAACCCCACAGGCAAGTTCTTTGTAATGTCATAAGATCCGTCTTGACTCCACCTCTTGGTGGCAGCTGAATTCCTGGAGTGTAGATGCTACAGTGACTAAGCTGTGGGCTCTTGGTCCTTAGTGCTTCCTTGAATTCCCCTTTGAGGTAATCTGGAGGATCTGTCTACATTGAAATTTGGGGATTGAGGAAATGGCCCACTCAGCCCCTGGAGAAATGACTTCGATGGAGCCTGCATGCCCTTCCTCTCAGTGCCTTGAGTTCTGTCTGAGATGGTATCCTATGGCCCCGAGGGCAGAGGCTTAGACAGCCTGTATGGTAGGAGACTTGGATGTTGTAGGAGTGTGCCTTCATTGGAAGGAAGTTCTCGGTAGCACACCAAGGCCGATCCCTGTAACCAGGCCCAGATTGAGACATAGACACTACTTACTATCTTGGGCTTTGGTGAATTCACCCAGAACCTTGGCCTTAGGTTCTTCTTATACTCCTAGAGCATCATGAATTTGACAAAAGAGAAATCTTGAAGGGAAGCATTTATGATGTCATTCATTCATTCCAGCCAATCATGGGTTCACATGAAACCCAACCCAAATCCCTTGAACAACTTCAGTCATGAGAAATATGACTCAAGTTTCAAATGGAAATTATTGTACTTTGTTCCAAATCCATGTATTTAAAAATGATCTTGTTCCCTTGGAAAATACTTTGGCTCTGGGTTTGAAATCTTGGGACTGTGCATTAAATTCTGGGGGAATAGTGTCCTGTTCCATAGCCCCCTTATTCATGTCTAGAGATTCTTGTGAAAGTGGTTATTAATTTTCTTTTAGAAAGGCTAATTGTAGCTGGTGTGTGTGTGTGTTTGTGTGTGTGTGTGTGTCTGTGTGTGTGTCTGTGTGTGTGTGTGTATTGCTAAAGGCCTGATATCCCAGACACAGCCTGAGGCCAAAGGAGAAGGTGTGGTACTCACTGAGGTTGCTTTACTTTTCCCAGGGCTCCTGGTTTCAGCTCTTTGTGTGTAGCCTTGAGAAGGCAGAAAGAAGGTCATCAGTGCATGAGGCTTGCTGATAGTCTTATGAGGCATATGGAGAAGGAATTATAGCTTACTTCTTTGTCATTTGCAGGTCACAGTCCTCTTTGCAGGACAGCACATCTCTAAAAGCCCATTTGAAGTGAATGTTGACAAAGCCCAGGGAGACCCCAGTAAAGTAACTGCAAAAGGCCCAGGTTTGGAAGCTGCAGGAAACATTGCTAATAAGCCCACCTACTTTGACATCTACACAGCAGGTAATATGCCATTCCTCCATGAATTGAACTTTTGGGCTTTCTTCCAAAGCCTGAAATATAATCCTCAGGAATTTGAAGGCTTGAGATACTCTACCTCTTATCTTTTGGGGAAGGTACCAGGTATTGAACTCAGGAGCAGTTGGCTTCTGAGCCACACTCCTAGCCCTATTGTGTATTTTATTTAGAGAGACAGGGTCTCAGTGAGTTGTTCAGAGCCCCACTGTCGCTGGCTTTGAGCTCGAGATCCTCCTGCCTCAGCCTCTGGAGTCACTGGGATTATAGGCGTGTGCCACCATGCCCGGCTCCTCTTGTCTTTTAGATTGAACAAATAAACAAAAAACCTTTTTCCAATGTGTGAGTTACATTTTTCAAAATCAGCTTTTCTGTTTGAAAGACTTATCCTCAGGTTTGACTGTGATTAATAATCAATTTCTTTATGCGTGTCTGACTTCACCAAATTTTCCAAAGACACTAAAGTTTAATAATCATCTACTAGACCAAATTCTGTGTAAGGTCTTGCAGGGGGAAAAAGAATGAATAAGAAATTTTCTTGAATTCATTGACCTTCTTTTCAATTTAGAAAGTAAAGAAATGTGAATCAAAGAGAAGTTCAGCACTAGCCCTGTACTCCAAGATCACAGCTGTGAATACCTTGGCGTTACCTTCCCAAGTGTCTCTCTGACCCCTTTTGTTTGCATTTTGCACTGATTAGTAGTGAGTTTTCTGAGAGTGGGGAACTTGAGCTCATGAAATGCTTGCTGTTTCACAGGAGCTGGCGTGGGTGACATTGGTGTTGAGGTGGAAGATCCCCAGGGGAAGAACACAGTAGAATTGCTTATAGAAGACAAAGGAAACCAGGTGTATCGATGTGTGTACAAACCACTGCAGCCTGGCCCCCATGTGGTCAAGGTCTCCTTTGCTGGGGAAACCATTCCCAAGAGTCCCTTTGTTGTGCAAGTTGGGGAAGGTGAGTGCCAGTGTGGCCAAGTACATCTGCTTTTGGCATAGATACTGTGTGTGCCTGGACTCTGAGACTTTGAAAGTGGCTGGGGCCTGACACTGAGCTGTCCTCTCTTCTCTTTCTGCCAGATCCACTTCAGTGGGAAATGACTTCTTTTCCTCAGTATGTTAATACTAATACAGTTTCTGTCACCGTGACAAAACACCTGAGATAATAAAATGAATAGGAGGAAAGGTTTACATTGAGAAAAGGTTCACTGTTTCAAAGGTTGCATTCTCTGGTTGCTTGGTTCCATTTCTTTGGGCCTGTGGTGGCACAATATATCATGGTGGGAGTGTGTGGCAGAGGAGCTGCTCACCTTGTGGCAGATGGGAAACAGAGACAGTAAGGGGCTGGGATCCCAGTATCCCCTTCAGGGACACATCCCCAGTAACCTAACTTCTTCCCGCTAGGTCCCACCTCGTAAAGGTTTCACCATCTCCCAAAGAGTGCCACAGGTTGGAGACCAAACTTGTGGACTTTGGGGGGACATTTTAGATCCAATCCAAGCACAGAGTGACCATCCCTAATCCAAAAGTCTAAAAAATCTGAAATGCTTCAAAACCCAAACCATTTTAAGAACTGACATGATACTCAAACAGTTCCAGATTTTGGAGCATTTTGTATTTTCTGATTAGGAAGTTTCAACCAGTAAAGTTGATGCAAATATTCCCCAAACAAGAACAACAATAGAAACCCCCTGAAATCTGAAATGGTTTTGGCCCCAAGCATTTTGGAGGCGGGATGTTCAATCTGTATCTTCTATGAGCCACACAGAGACCTAAGTATATTAATTTGTGTTAGCTCACTTAATGAGTTAATTCCTCAGAAAACTCCTACAGAGGAGTTGGTACCTGTGATGGAGTTGGCAGCAGCAGGTGCCCTGCAGCCTCCTTCTCTTGGCCATGGCTGGCTGCCAGGCACTTAGCATGACTGCATCTAATCATCACACCAGCCTGTGTGCTACAGGTGCTGTTACTAGTGCCAGTTTGCAGGTGGAGACCCTGAGGCTTGGCTAACACAAAGTTTCAGCCCTATGAGGTGTCAATAAGAGTAGCTGTGTGGTCTCTCTGGACCTGCCTTTAACCACTCTGCTAAACTCCTATGCAACTAGGAGCATACATTTTCCTCTAATATAGACTTTCTCCTGACTTGGTTGCTCTTTTTTGTTGGTTTGTTTTCCAACTCTGCTGCCTTTTCTAACCAATACTTGCCTTTCCCTGTTCTATCCTCCACATCTGCATCTGCAGACTTGGCTTCTTCTTCCGAATCCTGTCTCTGGGCCAACCTGGACCCCGAAGCTGTTGGCTTCCTAGTTGCGAACACTGGGCCAGAGGCTTTTGCTTGGTAAGGGCTGGTTGGGTGGGGCGTCTGTGCCAGTTCTTTGTGCTTCTTGTTATCATCAGCTGAGTCTGTGCTGTTTGTGTGAGTTTGTTTCAGGAAATTCCTGTGCAGGTGTTATTACAAATTGCACAGCCAGACCCTAAGCATACTCTCTAATTGCATTTAAACATACCTAAGGCTTTGCAGGATGGCAGAAGATCTGGTGGTTTCCTTCAAACTCTGACTCCACTTATTGTTTACACAAACAGAGCAGTTAGCCTTTTGATGTTGAGGCTTCTGCATGTATTCAGAATTTCCATGAGTGTGTATATATCTTTTAAGACACAGTTAAAACAACAGGATGACTTATTTCTGGTGTGACCATCTTTTCTTCCTTTGATAAAGAAAAAAAAACCCAAATGTCCAACATATTCATAAATAAAACTCTTTTTAATATAAGGAAAGAAAGAATTTGGGACAGTGTTCACAACTCAACTAGTGTTCCCCAAACTATTCTTACCTCATGGACTATCCTTATTTCTGGAACATCCATTCCACCTATCACTTATATTATGCAGTATTTAATCAGTAGACCTTCTCTTTTGATTTAAAAAATTATTTTGGTAGTTATAGATGGCCAGCACTCCTTTATTTTATTTGTTTCATTTTTATGTGATACTAAGGATTTAACCCAGTGCCTCACACATGCTAGGCACGTACTCTGCCACTGAGCTACAGCCCCAGCCTCCTCTTTTGATTTTTCTGCCCCCGACTATAATGATTTTATATTAAAAGAATCTTAGCCAGGTATAGTGTATCAAGCCTATAATTCCAGTTATTCAGGAGGCTAAGACAAGAGAATCACAAGTTTGAATCCAACCTAGGTAACTTAGCAAGACCTTGTCTCAAAATAAAATAAAAAAGGATTGGGGCTGTAAAGGAGCTCAGTGTTAGAGCACAGTACCTAGCACCACAACAAAATAACAAAAAAATGTCCAAAAAACAAAACATCAACAACAAAAACCTAAAAGCTCTATCACATTGGAAAAACCAGTGTTACTTTAATCAGCTTTTTTTTTTTTTTTAACCACTTTTTTTGACCAAAAGACCTGACAACATTAATAGTAAGGAGGAAAATTTTATTTTGTGGTACAGTTTCAGAGGTCTCAGTCCAAGGACAGCCAGCTTCATTACTTGGGACTCAAGGTGAGGCAGAACATCATGGCAGAAGATTGTGGTGGAGGAAAGTGACACTCAGGATGTCACCAGGAAGCAGAGAAGAGCTTCACTCACAAAGAAAAAATATATACCCCAAAGTCACGCCCCCAGTGATTCACTTTCTCCAGTCACACCCCCGTCTGCCTATAGTTACACTCAGTTTAATCCCTATTAGGGGATCAATGCACTGATTAGGTTAAGACTCTTCGAACCCAATCATTTCCCCTCTGAACTTTCTTGTATATTGTCTCACACATGAGCTTTTGGGGGACACACTGCTAAACCATAACAAAGTGCTACCATAAACTTCCACCATCAATTTCTTTAACTTCAAGCATATTTGTGTGCCTCTTCAAGTCAGGAGTGTGGCATTTACTGCTGATTCTTGCTTTTGTAGCTGTTCATTGCCAAGGGCCTTGTAACAGCCAGCACAGAAAGGCTGGTCTGCAGAACTGGTCTCTCTTGGCTCTCTTTTGTTTTGTCTGGCTGTTCGTGTGGAGGACAACAGCAATGATTAGACCTTTAGAAATGGCTGACCCAGGGTTTGGAACACAGATATTTTCAAGCACTGTATTTTCCAAGTCGACTTGAGAAAGTGTAGCTTTCCCAATTACTGGGCCCTTGAGGAAGGCAATGAGGTTTGAATAATGTCCAGCACTCAGTCTTAACCTCCCTCTACCCCATGAAAGGGATAAATGCCAGGACCCAGGAGCACAGTGAAGGTTTGCTGCATTCTCCTGTTTTTTTTTGTTGCCAAAGTAACATTCCCCAGCCTTCTGTGGTATGGCTGGACAAAATTATGCTGTGTCCTTCTTTGCTGGTTAGTGTGCTCCCTGAATGGCATCGCTGGTCTTGGGCAACTGCTGCATATTCTTTGTGCAAAGCAAACATTTTCTTGGTGGGTGGCTCCAAGTTACCTTGGCTTTCTCATCTGTGACTAAAGAATGAAAGGTTGAACTCACGTCAAAACTGTGTTTGCAGCCTGCAGTCCAAATGCCTGCCGGGCCAGTGGCCGAGGCCTGCAGCCCAAAGGTGTCCGCATCCGGGAGACCGCAGACTTCAAAGTTGATACCAAAGCTGCTGGAAGTGGGGAGCTCAGTGTAACTGTGAAGGGTCCTAGTAAGTGCTCCTTTCTTTCCCCATCTCAGGTGTGATTTCGGATAATTTTTCAATCATGGCAGTTTGGATTTCATCCCACATACAGTCCGGATTGATTTATCCCAGAGACCTATGACAAAGATTTAAGACTCTGGCTTCCATGGAAAAGGAAGCAGTAATTGATTAGTAATGTCTGCCCTGGATGTGGGCTAGAACTGTGGGTGGCTTGACAGTCTTACATTATATTGATACCTCTGGGAGTAGAAAAAGTAGTGATGCTAGGGAGTTAGGGAAATGTTGCTGTGGGAACAACTTGAAATGGTCCATTTTTCATTTGAGGAGACCGAGGCCCTGAATAGAAAGTTCTTACTCAAGGTTACATATCTTGTAGGCACCTGAGCTGGTATTCAAGCACAGTCTCCAAGGCCGATGATTTCTCCAGCACAAGTTGCATTTCATTGACTATGAAATTACATCAGTTACTACATTAGTGAAAGGGAATCATATTTCCCCAGATGAAGTTTTCATTGGAGATAAAGGTGTGGAAGGCAAATTACACCCAGCAACCCATTCTTTGCTTCCACTTTTGGGGAGGAATATGGCAGATAGGAGGTCAAGCATCCTCCCTGCTCACAAGTTTTTCCCAGGTACAGAGATGCAGCTCTGCATTTCTGGTTACAGATATACCTGACTGGTGGCTTTTAGTTCCATGGCTTATGGGATGTGAGCTTCCTGTGCCAGGGCTGCTCTCATCTTCTGTGCTTCCACTAGATTGGGGCAGAAGGGTTCCAAGCTCCAAAAAGTTAATATTTGGTCTTAGAACACCAAATTTTGAAGCAGAATATGCCCCGAGGGCAGCCAAGGTTCTAAACTGCCCAGACCTGGAGCCAAGCTATGCTGTGGTTGCCCTCCCTCCCAGCTTGTTGCAACAGGAGTCAGGGAGACATGTTTTCCTGACCTTGGAGACTTGCTTGACTCAACGGCTTTCCTGGCCAAACCTCAGGGCTCAACATAAAACAAGCTCTAGCCTGATGGCTGGGTCTGGGGTTTGTGGTATGGCATCTAAAACCCATCTTCTCATAGATAGCGAACATAAGGGCTTTATTGCTTTCGTTGTTCAGCGTTAGCAAAAAAAAAAAAAAAGATATCCTGGGATGCAAACTAAAGTCAAATACTCATAAAGGTTCTCCCTCCCCAGTGTTTGAGGGGGAGCTGAGAAGGGAAATGTTGAATTATAACTAGATTTCTTACATAGATCCATAAGGTTCGGGACCTCAGGGTACCTCAGAGCTGAGAGAACTATCTGAAGCCACTTTGCTGTGAAATCTTCCATTTGTTTACAGTCTGAAGCAAAGATGTGTCTGGTTTTAGCTTTGGAGTTCTCTCCCATGTTTTGGGGGGCTTGCCACTCTGCATTGGCCCACTTGATTCTTAGATGGCTTGTGCTTTGTGGATATTGCTACCTTTCTATTCTTATCTCCGTTGTGAGGCTAGAATTGCTCTGGCAAGATTGTGTGCTTCCTTCCCGCAGAGGGCCTGGAGGAGCTGGTGAAGCAGAAAGGCTTTCTGGATGGGGTCTATGCATTCGAATATTACCCCAGCACCCCGGGGAAGTACAGCGTTGCCATCACATGGGGGGGACACCACATTCCAAAGAGGTGAGTCTTGGGCTGGGGATGCTGGGGACGCATCTTCTCTGGAGGTGTGCTAGGCCCAGGGCAGACTCACAGGCTGCTGCTTCCCAGGCTGTAGGAAAGAAAGAGTTCTCCTTTGTTGATCGCTGCCCCCCCCCCCCACCCCCCCAGCTCCAGCCCAGCAGCACACAGACACTTGGCTTGTTCGCAAAAGCAGCAGAAAAGTTGCTGTGGTTTCAGCTGCCTTACTTTAAATCAAATGCTAGTGGTTCAGGGCTGGTGGGAGGCAGGGAAGCCAGAAGGCACAGTTATAGAGAGCAAATGGACTGTGTGTGTACACCCTCATATAAACTGAGATTCTCTTTTTTCAATGAATGCCTCTGTTCACAAATGCCACGGAGGCACAGTCTGCTATGGTTTACATTAAAACCATCTACGTGAGTTCTCTCAGGGACCAAGGGACGCTGTCTACAGCTTTGCCTTGTGGGCGGTGAAGTTTCCACTCTGTACTCATATGTGTTTTCCAGCTCTCCTGGGGGCAGCTTTACATTCTGAATTAGTTTAGTTTGCCTCCAGAAATATTTGAATGTTACAGTAGGCACCCCCTTATCCACCAGGGATACATTCTAAAACTCCCAGTGGATCTCTGAAACTCGGGTCATGCCAAACCCTATATGTCTTTTGTTCTTTCCTAGACACACATATTTTTGATAAGTTTGATTTATAAAATAAGCATATTAAGAAGATTAATAGCAGTACTTAATAATAAAATAGAAACAATTATAAAAGCATACTGTAATAACAAGTTATATGCATGCAGTCTTTCTGAAAGTATCTTCCTGTGCTGTGCTCACTCAATCTTTTTGTGCTAATGTGATGAGGTAAAGAGAAGAGAATGATGATGTTAAGTGTCCTGGCGTAAGATTGGCTACTGTTGACCTTCTGTTGATACATACTGCGTTTGACTGCATGTAACTGAAACTTTAGAAAGTGAAACCGAGGATAAGTGGGGACTATTTTATGGTGTTCTTGGTTTCTAGGCAACAAAGTTAAAGCATGTTTGTTTGTGTATATCATAAAATCTGTTGTGTTAGTCAACTTTATATAGCAGTGACCAAGTTACCTGACAAGAGCAACTTAGAGGAGGAAACTTTATTTGGGGCTCATGGTTTCAGAGGTTTAGTTCACGGTTCTGGGCCTGAAGTGAGACAGAACATCATGGTAGAAGGGTATGATAGAGGAAAGCTGCTTAGCTCATGGTAGTCAGAAACCAGAGAAAAGACAGAGTGCCAGGAGATAGGGACAAAATACATAATCTCCATAGCACACCCTCATTGACCCACTTTCTAGCCATGCCCCACCTACTACAGTTACCATCCAGTAATTTGTTCAAATGATTAATTCATCACATTACAGTTAATAAGATTATAGCTCTTATAATCTAATCATTTCACCTCCTACATTAATACAGGAGTTTTTGGGGGTTACCTCATATCTAAAACATACCACCTATTCAACCTGTTTTTCTTGTTATAGCTGAAGTAGGATATGGAGAAGTGTGAACTTTTCTTCTCTCCAGGGCTTATAGTCTGGACAGCCCTGCACATAAGAGATTAATGACCAGCAAGATATGCAAGGCACTGAGGCTTGAGGGCCAGCCCAGTGGCAGCCACATTACATTATATTGTTGCATAATAATGGCTTTGAGGGGTCCTTTGTGGAGGAAGAGCTTGCCTGGAGTTTGGGACTCCTGGTGAAAAGAGCAGTAAGTGGGAAGAATATGTGTTAAGAGTTTTTAGCTGTAGTTAGCTCCTTCTTCACTCTTCTTTAATGTTGCTTCTAAAAAAGAAAGAGAAAAAAAAAATGTTGCTTCTATTCCCTTCCTTCTAGCCCTTTTGAAGTTCAAGTTGGTCCTGAAGCAGGCATGCAGAAAGTCCGTGCTTGGGGCCCTGGCCTCCATGGTGGAATTGTCGGGAGGTCCGCAGATTTTGTGGTAGAATCCATTGGCTCTGAAGTGGGGTCTCTGGGTAAGTGGAGGCAGCTGACCAATAGCTTCTGGATGACTGAGGATTTAAGGGCACGGGGTGTCCTGGTGTCAGGTTGGGTGTGGGGGCCTTGCCCAGCTTCATCACCCTTAGCTTCCTGGCCTCCTGACCACTCCAGGCCTTCTCTGGTTGCTGCTGTACAAGTTCAGTTCTCTTTCCCCTCCTGCCTTTCCAGTTTCTACTGCCTCTGGCACCTGCATTCATTCATCCACTAGACCTTGAGAGCAGAGGCCTTATGCGGGTATTATGCCTAAACAGTGCTTAGAACATAGTAGTCACTTAGCAATATTGTTGACTGCCCTTAGTTTAGATGAATGAAGTAATTTTGCTAAAATTTGAAATTTGGGAACTAAATATTCTTTGAGCCATGACAACATATTTTACATATGCATCCAACTTTCTATATGATCATTTTAGATTAGAAGTCAGCAAATCTTTTCTGTAAAGGGCCAGATAGTAAATATTTTGTGGATTATTAAGGTCTGTGTCACAGATATGTGACTCTACCATTGTAGCCTAAAAGCACCTGAAGAAATGACTGAATATGGCCCTGTTTCAGTAAAACTTTATTTACAAATAGACAATGAGCCAGATTTGGTCCTTGAATAGTTTAGTGACCTATTTTAGGTAAAGCAATTAGCAAAAGAGGGAAAAATAAGAAATCACATTTAATTTTCCATACTGGAAAGATGAATCATCTTGGTATATTCTTCTAGTCTACAGATGGTATTTAACCTTTTGGCATATCCTTCCAGACTTTTTTCATGTATATACATATATAAGCATTGATTTGCCACAGAAACTATCTAGGGAAAGTCTTTATATTTTTACGCATCAGATAAATATAGGGTACGCCTTTATTTTCTGTGGCTCCCATGGAATTCCATTGTATGGGTATATCTATTGTTGGGCTCTCCAGTTATTTCCAGGATTTGCTCTATAAACAATGCTGAGTGTATATTCTCTGTTATTTCCTTTAGATAAAAACCCAGAAGTGGGTTTGTTCAGGCAAGAAGTGGGTGTCACTTTAAGGCTTTTGGCACGTCTTGGCCATATTACCAACACAACGATTTGCTGGTTCACACCCAACCCCCCATCCCATTAGATCATGTAAGAAACAAATATATCTGATCAACCCTTCCATCTCCAGTAAAACATGGTGATCTGGGTTTTATGGAAAAGGAACACAAATTTTATTCTTCTGGCCAATGCTTGGCTTTTGCGGCATCAGAGGGAATGAACTGGTGGCAATAGAATAGAAGATTCCTGCCATGTAACCAACCAGGCTGGCCCTTCCACTCCATCCCTAGGGTTTGCCATTGAAGGCCCTTCCCAGGCAAAGATTGAGTACGATGACCAGAATGATGGATCATGTGATGTCAAATACTGGCCCAAGGAGCCTGGAGAATATGCTGTTCACATCATGTGTGATGACGAAGACATCAAAAACAGCCCATACATGGCCTACATCCATCCTGCCACAGGAGACTACAACCCAGACCTGGTGGGCTGCCTGTCCTGTCCTGTCCGTCTTCCCTGGCTCCTGGCACTCCCTCAGCCCCCAGGCTTGCAAAGTTGCCATAAGCAGCATGCCAGGAGATGGCAGAGAGGAGCTGTTGAGATCTTAGAAAGGAAATGGGACTGAATTTGAATTCTGCTGGTACTTTTAGCACTTTTGTGATGTTGGGCAAGTAATTTACCTCCCTGACTCTGGGCTTCTTCCTCTATAAAAGGCACCCCCCCCCACCCGCTTGTGTACTGCTTTTGACCCCTTGGGGGCAGCTCTGAAGAGGGTCTGGTCAATTTGGGCTGATAACTACCTTTTCTTTGACTAGCTGCTAGTCCTTTGATCCCTGGGGGCTGCAGATTTTTGTACTCTTGTCTCTGGTTAAAGGTTTTGAATTTCCTCAGAGTGAGAACATTGAAACTGGGCAAGGCTAGAGGTTCCTGCCCCACTTACTACAAGTTCTGTCAGAATAAGGCAGGGAATCTGGGCTTGTTTGGGCCTGGTTTTAGAGTTTTTATGAGAGGTTAATGATACTGTTTGTTTTTAAGTTATGGCCTATTGTAGCTTTTTACTTCCCATAACCATGCTGTTACATGGATACCAAAAAATCAGGCACAAGTCATTTTGTTCTCCCCTCATTTACGAGTTATAGGGGCTTATTTGAGGCATTATATAGGAAGAGAATCATTATTGTTCCTTTCCCTCAGGTTCAAGCATATGGGCCAGGTTTGGAGAGATCTGGGTGCATCGTCAACAACCCAGCCGAGTTCACTGTGGATCCTAAAGATGCTGGAAAAGCTCCCTTAAAGATATTTGCTCAGGTAAATTTTGGGAGGCCACCTGTGCAGGTAATTGTCAGATTGAAAGTGTAATGGCAAGGGATGTGGCTCAGTGGTAAAGCACCTCTGGGTTCAATCCCCAGTACCAAAAAAAGAATGTAATGGAGGTCACTCAGGGTACCTGATCCTCAGTTTTCTTAACCACACATTGGGAATGATAAGAATATTATCTCATGGAGTTACATGAGGATTAAATGAGATTAGCATAAAGCACAGTGTTTTTCATGATTTTTTATGATTCATATTCTGTGAAAAGACATTTTAATTATTTCAGACTACCCTATAATGTCTTTCAGTTTGACTTAGGCTTTAATGGGAAGTTTGTAAACAAAATTAAAAATGTTTATCTAATTTAATAGAATTGGCCAAAAATAATTAAAAGCAGAAATTGAAATTAATAAGCAATGAGTATTGGGTCTGGGGTTGTAGCTCAGTGGTAGAGCGCTTGCCTCACATGTGTGGGGCACTGGGTTCAATCCTTAGTACAACATTAAAAATAAAGATATTGTGTCCATATAAAACTAAATTAAAAATTTTTAAAAATGTAAGTTTTGAGTGGCCATGGCTTGAGGAGTTGGTGAGATTTGCTCTTGAAAATAAATAAACAGGGGGGCTGGGGTTGTGGCTCAGTGATAGAGTACTTGCTTAGCACTTGTGAGGCACTGAGTTCAATCGTCAATACCACATAAAAATATAAAGGTAATGTATCCATCTATAACTACTACATATATATATAGTATATAGATATTTACATATGCTATATATATAATATATAAATATTATTATATAGTATGTTGTATATAAATATTATTTATATATACAGATATATAAATAAACAGAACTGGTTGTGGTGACATGTACCCGTAGTCCCTGTGCTTGAGTGGCTAAGGACAAAGGATCAAATGAGCCTAGGAATTTCAATCAACTTAAGCAACATAGTGATACCCTATCTCAAAACAAACAACAATAAAACAATAACAAAACAGGCATGTAGAGTTGGGGTTGTGACTTAGTAGTAGAGTGCTCATCTCGCATGGGTGAGGCACTGGGTTTGATCCATAGCACCACATAAAAATAAAATAAAGGGGGGCTGGGTTTGTGGCTCAGCGGTAGAGCGCTCACCTATAATATTCGAGGTCCTGGGTTAAAAAAAATTAAATAAAGAATGTGTCCAACTACAACTAAAAGATAAATTAAAAATAAAATAAAATAAAGGTATTGTGTCCACCTACAACTAAAATAATAATAATAATAATAATAGTAATAAAACAGGCATGTAACATTTTGTCAGATGTTGTCATTATATTAAGACAGTTGGTACTTTGTGGTAGCTCCATGAAGTTTTGTTGAGTTAGTGGGTGGTGGCCCCATTTGGTGGAGACCATGTGACCATGTGAGGGACATCTCTGTTCCTAGCTGTGGCTCTTTTGCAGGATGGGGAAGGCCAGCCCATCGACATCCAGATGAAGAACCGGATGGATGGAACTTATGCCTGCTCATACACCCCAGTTAAAGCCATTAAGCACACCATTGCTGTGGTCTGGGGAGGAGTGAATATTCCAAACAGCCCCTACCGGGTAGGTTGTGAGGTGAATCCTGGCTGATGTGTGAAAAGCCTGGTTATACACGAGGTCTGAACTCCATATGAAGAGAACCCATCCTTGATGGGCTTGGAAAGGTGGCATGGCCTAAAGGGCTGCATGCTCTAGGCTGCCCCAAAGGACCATTTCTAAGAATGTTTTTCTGAGTCCACGTGGAGGAGTACTTGATGACTTTCTCCATGTCTTTTCCAGGTCAACATTGGGCAAGGAAGCCACCCTCAGAAGGTTAAAGTGTTTGGGCCAGGTGTGGAGAGAAGTGGTCTGAAGGCCAATGAACCCACCCACTTTACAGTGGACTGTACTGAGGCTGGGGAAGGTGAGACTATGCTTCCCCAACCCTGTGACTCTTGCTATTTGAAGAAAGAAATTCTTTTTGTAACTTTCAGAAGGCAGCAAACTTTGACCAGGAGGTAGTCCCTCTGTCTAGGTGACTGTTCACCTAATGAACACTGTATCAGTTCCTTGGTGATATATCTTTGCTAATCCTCCATCCCTTTTCCAAAGCCCTGACTTACCACCTTCCCTTTCTTAGGTTTTCTACTGGAAACTTCCCTATTGTTCTTTTGAGGTTGTTAGCCTGAGCTACAAGTGATGCAAAGGACGTGCTGTTTCTTGTAAACTTATGTTAATAAGCTGGTCTCTTCCAGGTGATGTCAGTGTTGGCATTAAGTGTGATGCCCGGGTTTTAAGCGAGGATGAGGAAGACGTGGATTTTGACATTATTCACAATGCCAATGACACATTTACAGTCAAATATGTGCCTCCTGCTGCTGGACGATACACTATCAAGGTTCTCTTTGCATCACAGGTGTGTGTTGGGGCCTGGGAGGAAACAGAGGAGAGTGGGCCTGAATTCGTTCTGGCCACCTATTTGTATATCTCCTTGTGGGGTTTTTTTTTTTAGCAATAAGGAAGGTGTCTTGAGAATTCTTCTCAGTAGTTTTTCTTCAGTTCCTTAAAGCTAAGAAGGGAGAAAAAATGAATTTTCGCCACTTTCTAAAAGAAGTGAGGCAGTGTATTCAATGGTCAATAACAAGGTTCTAGAAAGAGACTGTTAAAAGCAATCTCAAGATTTTGATTAAAACGTAACTTCTAGATGTTCTGCTTAAGTCTGTTTGAAGCAGTAACTCTGGCCTCTGTGCTTAATTTTTTTTTCAGTATGATGAGCTGCATCCCCAGCCTTTTTTATTTTTAGATAGAGTCTCACTAAGTTGCTTAGGTCCTTGTTAAGTTGCTGAGGCTGGCCTCAAATTTGCCATTCTTGCTTTAACCCTCCCAAATCACTGGGATAACAGGTATGCACCACTGCCCTAAAACTTTTATACAGAGAGGTATTTTTGAAGTGTTAGGTTTATGATGTGATGATAGGGTGAGCAGTACCCTGAAACAGGGAGTTTTGAAATCCTGATCATTACATTTGCATAAAAACAGGAACCTCAGGAGAACATTCTGTGCCTAAATGCAATGGTTTTCAGTTGACTTCAGTTAACCTATTCTGCCTTTATCCTGATAGTCTGTAACTTTTTTTATTTAATATTATTTTTTAGTTGGACATAATAGTTTAATTTTGTTTATTTTTATGTGGTGCTGGGGATCGAACCCAGGGCCTCAAACGTGCTAGGCAAGCGCTCTACTGCTGAGCCACTGTAACTTTCTTTTTGAAGGATAATAATTTATCTATTTCGAATTACTTCCTTATAGTCCCCAAACATTAGCCCTAAGCTGTCCCTGCAGGATACCTACCTCCATGTATTGTTGTCAGTTTGGGTTTTATTCTAGGTAGTGGTTTTTCATCCTCGGTATCCAAAGCCAGTGTTAAAGGTCAGAGTCTTCAGTTCTGTTCATGTTGTCAGGATCCAAAAGTGAGCAAGGACCTGTCATGGTCTTACCTGATGCTAGGGTATGCAGACTTCTCTGGCAGTAATAGAAGTTTGCTCACCACATGCTGAAATACATGTCATGCTAAAGTTCGCCCTTTGCATTTGGGCAGAAGGCTAAGCTCTGGCAATTGTTCAGGGACTTTCCTTCTGAGACCATGTCTCTGCTACAGGAAATTCCTGCCAGCCCTTTCAGAGTCAAAGTTGACCCTTCCCATGATGCCAGCAAAGTGAAGGCGGAAGGCCCGGGGCTCAGCAGAGCAGGTAAGAAGGCACAGGTGAGGCTGTCCTGAGCCTTCTGTGGCCAGTGTCATTGGGCATGTTTGGTCGGGACCTGGATAACTTATCTCCACAGATGGCTCTGATGTGGCAGAGGCATTGCACCTGCCTGAGCCATGGGCCAGCCCAAATGTTGGCTGGCCGCCAGGGCAGAATGGTACTGTTGAACCTGTCAAACTGGTTCTAAAATGAGGCCTGTCTGCCAGCCCTGTCTCCCCGCTTCACGGTATGTCCTTCCAGGTGTGGAAAACGGAAAACCGACTCACTTCACTGTTTTCACCAAGGGAGCCGGGAAGGCCCCACTCAACGTGCAGTTCAGCAGCCCCCTTCCTGGTGACGCTGTGAAGGACGTGGATATCATCGATAATTATGACTACTCTCACACCGTTAAATACACACCCACCCAGCAGGTAGAGTCCTTCTTGTCCCCTGCTCTGCTGGCCAGGCCCCTTTCCAGGCAGTGCTTGGACCTCTGAGGAGTGATCTGGTGCTTGTGGAGGTGGCTCCTCTTGCCTTTTTGTGACCTCTGGGAGAGCACTGACTGAAAGCCTGTGCAATTCCTGAAGAAGAACCAGGAAGCCAGTCCCACCTCCATTTGGGGATTTGTCAGAGAAATGCTGAGTTCTTGATATTTAGGATCTAATATGTAACTTTCTCTTACACACACACACACACACACACACACACACACACACACACACACTCCCTTCCTCTCTTTCTTTCTCTCTCTCCCTACCCCACCGCCCCCCACTTCCTTTTCCAGCTGCCGCTTAGTCTTTCATTAATTAATCACAGAGAAAGAGCTGCCACACCTGTGTTTTTCCTTGCTAGACTTTTTGACCTAGTTTAGCCTTTTATGAGGTGTTTTAATGGGGTCTTTCCTCAAAGAGCCAGTTCAGTCTTTAAGTCCCTAAGGTCTAAAACACTATTCAGGGCAGCACATTGTTCTCCTTTACAAAATGCAGAAATTCAGCTGGATCTTGCCATATAGTGTGTTTTACTCTGATTATTTTCTGTGATAAGGATTTAAAAAAAAAAAGAAGAAAGAGCACCCCTCTGTTTTCATGTTTCTTTGTTTAAAAATTTTATAATTCATTATTTGTTTTATCATGGTAAAATTCACATAACATTTGCCATCTTAACCATGTTAAGATGGTATTAAATACATTCATTGGTATTAAATACATTCATCATGTTCTGCCACCACCACCATCCATCTCCACAACTCTTTTACACTTTTGAAACTGAAACTCTGCACCTATGATAAGTGTTAAAAAATTTTTGTTTGCTTCATGTTTATACCTCTAGAATCTGGACAGCAAAAGATCTGGCAGAAAGGCTGGATTTTCATACTCACATCTAGTGTTATAAACAGTTGTTCTAAGCCTCTGAAATTCTTTCATTCTGAGGGAAAAAGTCCCTGTGTTCAAAATGCCATTTATGAGCTAAAGGGCAGCTCTGGCTGCAGAGACTGCTCAGGAAGCATTATTTCTCCTGGGCCTCCCAGGTGGAGCTAGCAAGAGTGAGTGGGAAAGAATGAAGGAACAGGAAGGATGAGGAGATGGTGTGACTGTTTTCCTTGCTTTGAGGGCCGCACATCCTCGCAGATTGAATCTTTTTTGAGAACTTCTCTGGCAGTGGAAGGAGTTCACTGGGGCAGGTTCTATATGCCACATTATGAATGTGACCTCTTATCTCTAGACTTAGTGATTCCTCTGCCCTAACAAGGGGTTCCTTATTGTAGTAGTGCTTCTACTACATGCTTCTGAAGCTACTGTGTCCTTTTCATATCAGGCTGCTCTATTGAAAGTAGGTAATTATTTTCTTGCTGATGGTTCTGAGGGCTGATGGAACCCTTACCACCATGATTTTATCTTTGTTGCCAGTTCTCCACAACCTTATGAGAAGGGACCAGAAAGCCATGACCATGCACACTGACCAAGGTCACAAGGTCATATATGCTTCTAAAAACAGTTTGTTACTTGTGGGGTTTTGTTTTTGTAGTACTGGGGATTGAACCCAGGGTCTTGGGGCTTGCTAGACAAGTGCTTTACCACGGATCTACTCCCTTAGTCCATGACTTAAGTTTTATCCTATGCTTTTCTGACAAGGTCAGTTTGCTCTGTACCTCTGGAAAGAATAGTAGAACCCATTCCCCTGGCTTCCCGATTGTCAGTCCAGGTAGAAGTCAAGAGCCCATATCTAGCTTCATTACATTTGAAGTAGTGTTTCAGTGGGAGACTCTTTATTTCAGTCACCCCAAGATCAAGTTCATCTAGTTCTCTGATAGCAATGGATTTGAGAACTGTTGGCACACTCAGTAGCCTCTAGCGGTTATTTGTTCAGATGCTGGCCATGATATGTGGAGGAGCTGGTAGAGTTGTCTTGATGTTAATTGTTGCCTTTTATGTGAGTGGATCTCATGGTGCCCCTTGGATCCTTCTTGTTTGTAGTGTAGAGTGAGGTTTATAGTTTCATTTTGGGGACACTTGCAATTCCGCATATTTCTCTGTAGCAAAGAAAATAGATGACATCTCTTCTCTTGAGTTGTGAGTTCTCCAAGAATAAGATATTATGACCTGCATGTATCTTTCCATCCCTAGCCCCAAGCCCTTGGTCCGGCGCCGAAGATGCGTCATATGGATTAATGACTAAAAGGGTGAATCAACAATGTGACGCCTTGATGTGATGCAGAAATGGCTTAGGAGCATTGTAACTGGTAGAAGAGTTGGGCTGGCACCTCATCCTGAGGAGCTGCTAAAAGCTCAAGATCAGGTGCAAGAAGTATGCCTGTGAATTGTGCTCTTGGATGTGGTTAAGAGGCCTGGGCTACCCAGAAAGCTGCCAGCTCCATGGAGAGGGACCTACTTTGAGGACTGATGCCCCTGGGCTCGTGATGATGTTGTTTGGGAATAACAAACTGGAACTTTCCAGAAAGGCAGTATTTGATGTATGTGGAAAGGCATGGCTATGTCCTGGCCTTAGGTGGGTTGTTTCTACCTCAGAATACAGACTGTGAGAAGCCACTACCCTGCCTACCTAAGGAGACTGGCCCCTCAGGTTAATTGCTGGCTTTTGTTCCCTGCAGCTAAGAGGCTGCTGATCTTTCCTCCAGGGCCTCTCAGTTTTAGCTCACCTGCCTGGAATGGACTCGTGATGTGCATGGTTGGGGAGGTGTCTGCCTTTATCAGGATACAGTGATCAGAACTCTTTTTGCCTTACTGGAGTGGGTTGAAGCTTAAGGACCCTCCTAGATAAGGGACAAGCAACTATTTTCCTAAGGACTTTTGCCTTCTTTACCTTTGGTTGTCTGTGGCCTCAAGTGGCTTGAAATTCTCACTCTAAGCTCCCCAACCCAAGACAGTTTGAGAAGTTGGTGGCAGCAGTTCCAGTACTTGCTCTGATTAGAGCCACTAGGAATTTGAAAGTGCTACTATGGCACCTTCAGGATACCCCATGAGCTCACAGAGCCTCATGAGGTAATAATCTTTACCTTGAATTCCCCTCCACCCCTGGTACTAGGGGATTGAACCCAGACTGCTCTACCACTGAGCTATATCCACAGCCATTTTAAATTATTTATTTGAGACATGGTCTCACTAAATTTCTGAGGGTCTCCTTAAGTTTCTGAGGCTGGCCTTGAACTTGCAATCCTCCCACCTCAGCCTCCCGAGTGACCGGGATTACAGGCATGCATCACCACTCCTGGCTTGATATGTTCTTAATGTGGTGACCATGGCTCCTTGCAGGCAGCTCTGGAGGAGGGGGATGCATTGGCTGACTCTCAGTCCATCCTCATCTGAGCTGTTGGGTCAGGGCCCTTGTTTATCTGTGTTTTGCAGATAAGGGTCAGGTCTCAGAAGCATATAGGGGGAGAATAAAATAGTCCTGCAGTCAGCAACATCTTGCTGGAATGAGCAGGTGGTCACGGCCCAGGCAGCCCTTATTTATAGCCCTGTGGTAATAAAACACAATCTATTTCTTAGCTGGGCCTTGGGAAAACTGAAAATGGTATTGGTATTAGAGATGCAAATCTTGAAAGTTTTTTTTCCTTCCCCCTTGTTAGGTTATTTAAGATAGAGTTAATTTCCTATCTGGATTTTTGTTTTGCTTTTGTGACTGGTAAGAAAACATACTTTGTTTTATGAGATTGGTGGACTTAACTGCAAGAGGACTTTCCCCCCTTAGCACTTCAGGGAAGTGCCCAGAAAACTCATGGGAGTGAGGGAAAAGACATTTCCAGGACCCCTGGTCAGCCTTAAAGCCTAAGAGTTAGGGGCTTGTGACCAAATTTAAGCTCAGGAAGAGTTGGCATGTTGGGAGAGGTTAAGTAATAAATCAGTCCTCCCTTAAACATTACAAGGAGACCTTTCCTGTCCCTTGGCCAACTCCCAGCCCTGTTGAATTTGACCTGTACACATTTTATCATGAAATGTTATACCCTTGAGGTAGGGGGTCATTGGCTTTGTATGCAGTGTTAAAAAATCCTGGAAAATCAATCCTTCTCCCTTCATTGATGCAACCAATTCTTTTTCTTGGCTTTTTTCCCCTTCGTTATTACAAAAGGAATGTGAGAAAATATCCATAGGCCAAAAGCTACACCCTTTTAATGCTTGATCAGCGACAGCTTTCAGCAGGCCCTGCACGCCAGTGAGCATGATGGATTCTCGGGGAGAATCATCTCTCCCTCCCATGTCCCTTATATTATGCCTGGATGATTGAGGTGATGGGGACCTGATCTGTGAGATGGCAGTGGTCTTCCTTGGAGCCTTGGCATGGTGGATGGGGACTTGGCCAACGTGGAAAAAAGAAACCAGCAGTGAGCTGGCCTGGGATCATTCGGAGGATAACAACAGCAGCACACATGGCCATTGTGTATCTCTGTGGCCATTGGGGCCACCAACAAGGGGACCTGCCATTTCTACAGCACAGTGTGCCTTTGCACTTGTAACTTTTTTTTTTTCTTTGCTAGAAACAGCATTTAAACTGTATGCTGGCCTAACAACAGTTCTAGGTGAACCACTTTGCAGATCCCTTTTGCAGCCTGGTATCCTGAAACTGATGGCCAGGAGATGGAAAAACTGGTTCTATTCACTGAGAAGCCCCAGGCTCAGTGGCTTACCCATGGCCAAGTTGGCTGTGTATTGGGTGGGGAGGTGGTATGGGAGCAGTGAGGAAGATGGTGGGTGTTGTGGGTCTGAGGCCCAGTGCTTATGTTTACCAGGTATGTGATGGGGGCCAACTTCCTTTACCTCATGGAACTACTGTTTCTATTCTTGGAAAAATGGAGATGATAGAAGAACTGCCCCTTAGGACTTCATTCTTAAGATAGAATGAAGGGAATGCTTAAAAGAGCATATAGCACAGTGCTTGGCATGTAGTAAGCACTTATTAAGTTGTCCTGCTTTTTGCTGCTCTTATTTGATCTGGTTTTTTATTATTGTTGTCTGAGATATTCTCTAAGTCCATTGGAGTCATGCCCACTGTGTCTCTGGGAGGAACAAAGTGTCTGGAGGCAGATTTAAATACCCAGTGAACATGTTGGTACTCAAAAGTGCACTTTTTTTTTCCCCTCTCTTATTCTAGGGTAGCATGCAGGTTCTGGTAACTTATGGTGGTGATCCTATCCCTAAAAGTCCTTTCACTGTGGGCGTTGCTGCTCCACTGGATCTGAGCAAGATAAAAATCAATGGGCTGGAAAACAGTAAGTATCTGATGAGAAGAGGGTCATTGAAGACCAGGAAACCTGGCTTTTAGGTTTCCTTGCAAAAATGAATTCACAGAGAAGCCAGTTCTATTTTAAGAGACTGCAGTGAGACAGACTTGGGTTTAAATGAGGGCTGTGTCATGAAACAACTGTGACCCTTCTGCCACTTAGCCTCAGCTTGCTCGTTAATACAGCAGGGGTGAGTAGATGAGAAACACTTAACTTTCACAGGAATATTGTGAAAATTAAATGAGCTAATGATTCAGAGGCTGGCAGGTAGTCAGACCTCAGTAACTACGGATATTGCTGTGAGAAGGTGGGGCCTGTTGCTTTTGTGTGTGCTATCTTTCCTTGGCTTCTGAATGCCATTCAAACATAAAAGCCAACTCCCTGGTGCTCAGTAACCACAACCATAATGCACCCCCCTACCACCACCAATATTCCTTTAGTTTGTTAAGAATCTTACGGTTATAAGCTTGTTTTGTTTAGGGTGATATTTTCCCTTTTTTTTTATTATGGAAAAAAATTGAAACATACAAAAAGAAAGAGTATTGTGTTGAACACTGATAGGCTCACCACTCAACTCAGATGTTTCACACATGCTCATAAAATCATTCTTACACAAGGAATATGTAAATACAGTTTTCATCTGAAGCAAAATTACAGTTAAGAGTTCATTCCATCATTTCTGCCCCTTCCTAGGGTTGACCGAAGTTGGCAGTTCAGTTCCTCTCCTTCCACACCTTCCCTCTGTATCTTCATGTATAGATGTTCTAGTAGAAAAGATCTGGCAAGGTTTATTTTGCATTAAAGTTATCCTGCTATGTGGTATGTCTCCAGCTAGCCCCTGTGTATGTCTCCCACTCACCTACATCCTCAACCCCAACCTGCCTTTTTTTTTTTTTTTTTTTTTTTTTGTGATTCTGGAGATTGAACTCAAGCCCTTCCTTAACCTTAGCCAGCCTGCTTTGTGGTCAGCAGTGCATCTTGGAAATCATTCACACCTACATCCTCCTCGTTGGTGTTAACTGCTGGATGCAGACAGGAGGGATCCCTGCAGTGCACATTCAAGTGGTTTCAGAGCCACCAACCCAGCAGGCTGTGTGTAGCCTCAGGGTAGGGCTCCTGTGTCCCCTGTGAAGGTTGCTGTAGTGTCCTCAGTGAATACCTTCATTGATTTGTGACCTAAATGGATCCGTCCACAAGGCCGGATCCCAGTTCTGAAGGCTGCAGAGCAAGAGCTCCATGTGTTGGCTTTTATGGGTGATGACAGGCAGATATGAGCATAGGAACAGTCACTGCCCAACCTTTCACTAGGACACCAAGTATTCTTACTCTAGAGCAGTAAAAGCTTGATGTCTCTTAGGAAAAGCTCTTTCCCTTTGGATCCTGGGGCTTCAAGATGCCCTGCTTGTGGTCCAGCAGTGTTCATCTTGGCAGGCCCCATACTACCCCAGAGTCAAGATTTCTTGGATTGTGGCAGGGCCCTGAGTTCCTAGTGCTTTTGTTTTAGTTAAAGTACCTTCCCCGTTTTTGACAAATATAACACTTAGGTTTCCTGTGGACTCTCTTTGTAAAGACCTTTCAAAAACCACACGGAGTCAGTTCTCGGGATGAGATTCAGCGCTCTTGCCTTTGCCAGCACTGTGTCTTCTTGTGGGGTGAGGGAAGCAGCTATATAGGATTGTATTTCTTGCCAAGAATTATTAAATAAAATATGGACCTATAAGTGTGTTTTCACATAAAGTTAACATGAAAAGTAAGTAAAGAACAGAGGATAGTGTCAGATTATAATTTATTGGTCTGCAAAGCAGATTGTAAGATTAAATAAATTTAGATTTGAGTCCCAGCTTGGTTGCCTGCTGGATATGCTACCCTGGCCTCATTTTCCCCACCTGTTTAAGCCATTGATTAATAATAAATACCCTTTAGAGTTTTGGTGAAAATCAAAAGAGACAATGTGTGCTGTTCTTTGTGCCTGGAATATAAAATGCCTGTAGTAAGTGACAGTTGTTATTATCATTAACCACTGTTCTTATGCCAATTGCTGTTGAGGCTGAAGTGCAGTTATATTCACTTAGTCTTTCTGCACCTGCCTTCTTATTGAAGAGGCTAAGACAAAACCCCATGTCCAGAGAACCATCCTTCCCTGCTTAGGATGATTCTTGCCTCTGGAAGAGGGCAGCTTCTCACTTTGACTTGCTCCCTTCCCCAGGGGTCGAGGTTGGGAAGGATCAGGAGTTCGCCATTGATACCAAAGGAGCAGGAGGCCAGGGGAAGCTGGACGTGACAATCCTGAGCCCCTCTCGGAAGGTTGTTCCATGCCTGGTGGCACCCATGGTGGGTCGGGAGAGCAGCACAGCCAAGTTCATCCCTCGGGAGGAGGGGCTGTATGCCGTGGATGTGACCTATGATGGACACCCCGTGCCCGGGAGCCCCTACACAGTGGAGGCCTCTCTACCACCCGATCCTACCAAGGTCAGCTTTTGATTTTGTTCTAGAACTTGCCCATTTGTTGTCAGATGTGGTACCACAGTCCTTCTCTCTGGTCCTGCCCAGCAAAGACCTTTGGAAACTCATTTTGTGCTGAAAGTCAGTTCTCAGTGACCAGCTTTGGTTCTCCTATCTATCAGCTTGAAGAGTCCCCTGGGCAGCTGGGCCAACCCCTGCTCTTTCCTATCACTGTCTGGCTAGAAGATTTTGGTGAGGGACTCCCTGTCCCTGAATTCTTTTCCTTTGCTTGTAGCTTAATACTGGTACTTGGTTCAAAGCCAGCCTGTAAGTATAAGGCAAGCTAGTGAAGATGGAGACCTCTGGCCAGTGTCTGACACACAGACTGAGTTCATCCTACAGAGACTATAATAACATAATATAAAAAGACTTTGTCTAAACTAAGCATGGGGCTGGGGATTTGGCAAAGCAGTAACGCGCTCGCCTGGCATGCGTGCGGCCTGGGTTCGATCCTCAGCACCACATAAAAACAAAGATGTTGTGTCCGCCAAAAACTAAAAAAATAAATATTTAAAAAATTAAGTAAATAAATAAACTAAGCATGGTGGTACACACTTGTAATCCCAGTGACTCAGGAAACTGAGGCAGGAGGATCTCAAGTTCAGGCCAGCCTCAGCAATTCAGCAAGGTTAACTTAGGGAGATGCTGTCTCAAAAAAAAAAAAACAAAACAAAATAAAACACATTAAAAGGGCTGGGATTGTAGCTCAGTGGTATAGATTCCTGGGTTCAATCCCCAGTCCAAAAAGAATACATAATCTTCATTACTTCTTCTGGTAGCCCTGACTCAAAAAATTTTGTTTTTTTTTTTTTTCCCATTGTCTGAATGGTGTGAATCTATGAAATGGACTTAGTTGTTGAATCACAGATGAATGCTTCATCCCTCCCTCATTTTAACAGTTTGACTTTTTTGTTGTGCAAAATTTATTGAATGAGATGTAGCATTTTTAGTTGCAGTGAGGTCTGGCCTTCTGCAAGCCCTTGATCAGGGAGACCTTTGTATGCTTGTTGGATAGGATGCTAGTTCTCAAAGTCTACCTCAGGGATTCAGAAGAATATGGGATAGCAGTTAAGGGTGGGATTGCCATCTCAACTCCAGTTCCTGTCGCTTAGGCAAGCCTCCTACCTGTGCCTTTCAGCAGTCATTGAGTTCTTAGCCATCTAGCTATTCATGGCATTTCATCACAGCTCTAACTTGGGGGGTGCAAGTGAGTGGCACAGTAGGGCTGGGGAGAAGGACCACTTAGCTGTGGTACACTTCAATGCTGGTTGTAGTCTTGCAGCAGGCCTGGCTGAGCAGCAGTACCAGTGCCAAGCGGGATTTAACTTTAATTCTTTCTTTGTATAGGTGAAGGCCCATGGTCCTGGCCTTAAAGGTGGTCTTGTGGGCAAGCCTGCTGAGTTCACCATTGACACTAAAGGAGCCGGAACTGGAGGTTTGGGCCTAACCGTGGAAGGTCCTTGTGAGGCCAAAATTGAATGCTCTGACAATGGTGACGGGACCTGCTCTGTCTCTTACCTTCCCACAAAACCTGGGGAATACTTCGTCAACATTCTCTTTGAAGAAGTCCACATACCTGGGTCTCCCTTCAAAGCCGACATTGAAATGCCATTTGACCCCTCTAAGGTTGTGGCATCAGGACCAGGTCTCGAGCTCGGGAAAGTGGGTGAAGTTGGGCTTCTTAGCGTTGACTGTTCGGAAGCAGGTCCTGGGACACTGGGCATGGAAGCCATCTCAGACTCAGGAACAAAAGCGGAAGTCTGCATTCAGAACAACAAAGACGGCACCTACGCGGTGACCTATGTGCCACTAACAGCTGGCATGTACACACTGACCATGAAGTATGGTGGGGAGCTTGTGCCACACTTCCCTGCCCAGGTCAAGGTGGAGCCCGCTGTGGACACTAGCAGGGTCAAAGTCTTTGGACCAGGAATAGAAGGAAAAGGTGGGTTTTATTTTTAAATAAGGGAAAGACTGGAACTTAAGGGCTACCAGAGGCTCACAGGCTACCAGTCCCCTAGACTTTTAGGGGCCAGGTGAGGTGTAAGAGGACATGTACCTGTGGCCTCTGCTTCAGAGAATGGTTGTGGGGAAACCTGGATGAAGTGGGGAGCACATTGCTTTTCCAGAGGCTGCTTTGCTGCCCAGCCCTGTTTCTGTTTCTCCGTGGGGAATGGGGTCCAGCATTGTCAGCAGATTTTCCAGATTTTTTTGTGGCAAAGCCAGAAATATTGATGTTTTTTTTTTTTCTGGTTTAATATTAGAAACAACTTATTTCATTGTCAATACTGCATTGAAAAAAATAGTTTAAATGTGATGCTGGCTAACACCACACATGCTGCAGACAGCAGGTCCGCCTGTACCCTTTAACTTGTCCTAGAACCCCACCTCTGTGTATACAGGTCAAGACTTCCCTAAAAGGGGTTGTGTTGTCACAGACCAAGATTATCCTGAAAGAGGAAAAGGGGTTAATAGTCCCGATTTTGAGAGTAAGGAAACCAGTTGTCTGCTGTCATTGAAGTTAGACTTAATTCTAGTGTTTTGGGGTTTGCTATTGGGTGCAGGGTGTTTTTTGGGACATTCTTGTCTGTGTTGTTGCTCTGCAGATGTGTTTAGAGAAGCCACCACTGACTTCACTGTTGACTCAAGGCCCCTGACCCAGGTAGGGGGTGACCACATCAAGGCCCACATTGCCAACCCTTCAGGAGCCTCCACTGAGTGCTTTGTCACAGACAATGCTGATGGGACCTATCAAGTGGAGTATACACCCTTTGAGAAAGGTAAGATTTGCTCTTCTTGGATGTGACCCTTAATCAAAGCCATGCTGACCCCTGACCTATGTGCTGGACCCATCTCAGGAGATGCATGTATAAACTGAAAAGAAATGTGAAACCTCTCTCCCCAGTAGGCTACCTGCCTGCTCAGTGCCTGGCTTGCTAGTCTTTTTGTGTAACAGGTAGGCTGGGGCTTAGCCTCAGCCTCACCTGAGCAGGTTATGGGGTGATGTCAAGGTATGTTGTTCATTTGTGCTTTTTTTTTTTTTGTAGGTGCATATCGGGTTTCCCTTAGTCTGTTGGTTAATAGCTAGATGGAGTTTTCTTGAATTAGGATAATATACTTAGAATTATGACTTGAATATAGATATATTGAAACTTGCTTGGGGTAGCATGGGTGTGTTATGTCAAGTAAATTGCATTAATAGTTTGCTTTTTTTAAAAAAAAAAGAACCCATCTATACCAAAATTATTGTTTTTTTCAACCTACTCTTTTCTCATGACATAGACTTGAATGACAGATAAAACCCTTAAGTACAATATCACTTTCCACAAATAAGTGAACTTTATGCAAATATTTATTTCTGTTTGTTGTTTTGAACAGGTCTCCATGTAGTGGAGGTGACATATGACGATGTACCCATCCCAAACAGTCCTTTCAAAGTAGCTGTAACTGAAGGCTGTCAGCCATCACGGGTCCAAGCCCAAGGTCCTGGATTGAAAGAGGCATTTACCAACAAACCTAATGTCTTCACTGTTGTTACTAGGTAGGCAGGGCCCTGGGCTCCATGTATTAAGTCTGTAAAAGGAATAGTCCTACGTAATTTAACTGCTTTAAAAAAGTTTAAGGGCTGTACCCTACAGATGTGTTGTGGTCTACCATCATATGTTGAAATGCATTTTTGTAACATGTTAGTCATTTTCTTTTATAGAGACTATGTTGTAGAGAAAGACCAATTGTAGTGCCTAATAAAAACCAAAAAACAAACAAAAAAACTTCTAAGCAAACTAGGACTAGAGAGAAGCTTCTTATTCTGATAATGCAGAAGTGTATAGCCAACCTTATATATAAAGGAATAATTAGAAATATTCCTATTAAAATGGACCACAAAGAAGGCTGGGGGTTGGGTTGCTCAGTGGTAGAGCACATGCTTAGCATGCACAATGCTTTGGGTTCAGTCCCTTGGGTGGAGTGGGCACGTATCTACATTGTATTTGCATTGTTAGCCAATGCAACTTGATAAGAAAAACAAATGAAGGAAGCATTGGAAAGGAGAGGTCAAGGCTATATTTATATTAGACTGTTGAGAAATACCCTGGGACAGAGAGGTGTTGACATGTTTGCAGAATGAGGATGGCTCAATGAAATAGTTACTTATTATAAATGGATTTTAAAATCAATTCTGGCAATAAACAGACTAGCATGGACTGTAAACATTTCACTTTTTTCTCCACCCTTTTCTCAGAGGGGCAGGAATCGGTGGGCTTGGCATAACTGTTGAGGGACCATCAGAATCGAAGATAAACTGCAGAGACAACAAAGATGGCAGCTGCAGTGCCGAGTACATCCCCTTTGCCCCAGGGGATTATGATGTTAATATCACTTATGGAGGAGCCCACATCCCTGGTAAGCTATGCAATGGACAGGAGTCCAAACACTAACTGATTTTGGGTGAAAATAAGTTTGATTTTGCTTATTTCTTTTGAATAGGAAAAAAAAATCTGGTATTTGTGGTAGCTGTAGAGGGGGACTTTTCCCTTTTCAGGATAGAGCCCCACCCCAGGAACCCAGGAATAGGAAGAACTTCAGTGGCTCATATAGTTTTCTCAATAACCTGGCATGATGCTGAGTGGGAAATGGGCAGGCTGAACACCCCACTTATGGCTTTCTGGATTGACTCCTAAGAAGCTTGAGTTACCACACACTTCCCTGATTCTGTCCCCTCTTTCTCTCTTACCATGTACAAATGTGCATACACAGTCACAGTCACTCTCACACACATTGATCAGAAAGTATTGGCACTGAACACAGATTAATTCTACTCACATGTCCATATGAAATGTCAAAGGGACAAGTTTTTCCTCAAATTTGTGCTTGCACTCATACAATAGAGATTTTAAAGATTATCAGGGTATTTCAGCCTCTGCTTCCTACCCCTAATACTATCTATTGTTTTTGCAACTGAAACTTGTAATAATTGGTACAAAGAAGAATGGAACTAGGTGACAAGATAAAGTTACAGGAGTTTTGGAGTTTTGAGAGAGTTGAGCATCAAGAGAGAGGACATGGTGACTTAATTAGGTGGGTGATAAGCATCTGGTTGTGGCAGCGTTAGAGTGCTGGGTACCATCAGCCTTGGAGTTCCCCTACAGAAATGGATGAGCATTCAGGCTCTGATGGCTGACCCATGAGCTTACTAGAAAACAGAAAAAAGTCTCATTTTGGGTATTCCCATTAGATGTTAATAATATAATGTCTGCATTCATTTTCTCCTGAACCCCAGAACTCTATCTCAAGCAAAGACATTTAGTTAAGTGATGGTTGTAGACTTAGTGTTAAGCTATGTAGCTAAGGTAACTCCAAAGGCACTGAAACATTAGGTGACCTGCTAGCTTCTAATTGCTTTCGTGGGAATTCTGGGTGGTTAAATATGAGCCCACTTTTTCCTAGAGATACAAACCTCTAGTGGGATTTTGTTTATTTGTTTTTTTTGTCAGTGCTAGGGATAGAACCCAGAACCTCGTACATGCTAGGCAAGCATTCTACCACTGAGCTCCCTACCCAGCCCTCTGGTGGGGTTTTTGAACAAAGTATCCTGTCATGCTCATAATGGCTTATTTGTTTCCTGTGGTGGACCAGCTGTGGTCTGTTGGTGACTGCCAAGACCACCAGGTTGACTAGGATTCAGAGTGTGTCAGGAGGAAGGGCTGCCATGATTGATTGATGTGTGCCTGAGGCAGGGACCAGGGGACTGATGGCAGACTTCCATCTTGAAATTAAGATTTTTACCTTTGTGTGTTGCTTCATACCTGCTCTCATGCTGATTCTCTGATGACTTAGAGAGTGGCCTCAGAGGTAGTCCTTGGCCACCCCCCCCCTTGTCATTGAAGTCCTCATCTACTATGAAATGAAGCTCCAATTTCTTTCCCTAAACCACAGCATGGAGGGCTGTGCTCATCTTTGCTGGGGTCAGCCATTATTTCATTTACTTGAAAAACTAGATGCCATTGAAACTCTGCTGTGTTGTTAGAAAACCAGGGTCTTGGTTCATTGTGTGGTCTTTGTTATTTACCACCCCTAGATCTATAGATAAACTTTCTAGGATGTAAGACAGAGAGACTTTGGATTCCATGGCTGTTAGACATCTGGTAATTGTCAGGTGTCATGGGAAACATAAGAACTCTACACATGGCAAGGAGTTCGTGGAGCTTGGCAAGGGACTTGGCAGCTTAAAGCCTGGTACTGAAGACACTGGGGCTTCTGTTTCTGGGGAGGTCCCTGTCCTTATGGAGTTCCATTAAGATTCCTGCCCCAGACCTTATTCCTCTGTTTAGTGCTTTTCTTATAAATTCTGATCTTCCTGCATTCTCCATATTTTACTGGTCTTTAAAATTGATACTGTGATAGCAGTCAGAGGCCCTCAGGTTTGCTCTTGAGGTCAGCCATGCAGCAGGTCCATCCAGAAATCTCAATTGTTCAGGGAACCAAGAAGGCTGTGTGTGTTTGGGGATGCTGGCTGTGTTGGAGGGATGGAATGAAGTAACCATTTGTGGGAGAGGAGGTTGGATATAGTCTTCAAGGCCTGCCTGTCCTCCCATCACCCAGCCTCCTCCTTCAGTTCCTCCAGCAGCCTGTCTTCCCCTCACCTCTAGGCTTCTGCACAAGCTAGTCCCTCTGCTGGTCCATCTACTTCCCCTGGGTGATAGCTGCTCGCTCTTCTGTCTCAACTTAGATGCTACTGGAAGGTTTCCTCTGGTTTCCTAAGACAAGGTTCAATGTCTCCTAAGTGTTTCACCTGATACCCCTTCCCACATATGTTATGTAGGATATTAGAGTGACATGCTCACACCTTGACCTGCCTTGCAGGCTCCTTAAGGCTTGTTAGCCACTGAGTAGACACCTGGCACAGTGTCTACATGTAGTAGGTGCTCCATGGCCATTGATTGGACACATGGGTAGGCACAGCAAGGCAGGGGGAGCTGATAGAGGCCTATTAAAATTGAGGTCCCTCGTGTGATTCTGTGTGTGCATAGATGGGTCTCCAATAGCTAGATACTCAAAATCCCATGAACTGTTTTCCAGGTAGCCCCTTCAGGGTTCCTGTGAAGGATATTGTGGACCCCAGCAAGGTCAAAATTGCTGGCCCTGGGCTGGGCTCTGGTGTCCGAGCCCGCATCCCACAGTCCTTCACGGTGGACAGCAGCAAAGCTGGCCTGGCCCCATTGGAAGTGAGGGTCTTGGGCCCCCGAGGTAAGTATGTGTCCTGCCTCCCTGCCAACATCACTTATCTGGGTGGGGACAGCCATGACCCAGAACAGGTATTTGCTTTCAAATATGATCATGAACTTAAGATTATTATTGCTGATAATCTAGCTAAACTGTAAAAGATCCTGCTTAAAAGTAGGCAGGCCTGTTATTTCTTTAGAAGTCTGTCTTCCCCCATCCCCTTAACGACATGGCCTTAAATTTCTTTCTTTCTTTCTTTCTTTCTTTTTTTCTTTTTTTTTTTTTTTGATACTAGGGATTGAATTCAGGGATACTTGCCACTGAGCCATATCCACAGCCCTATTTTACATTTTATTTACAGACAGAGTCTCACTGAGTTGCTTAGCACCTCACTTTTGCTGAGGCTGGCTTTGAACTCATGATTCTCCTTCCTCAGCCTCCCGAGCTGCCAGGATTACAGGTGTGCACCATTGCGCCTGGCTCTTAAATTTCTTTTAATAATTTCACTTGTTAGAATAGCTAGTTGAAGCAAGTAGTATATGGGCTCTCATGTAAAATTACTGTGATTGCCACAAGCAACTCAGTGAGACCCTGTCTCTAAATAAAAGTCCCTGGTACCAAAAAAAGAAAGAAAGAAAGAAAAAAAAAATGTTGCTACTTCTTCATTACCTACTTCAGCATTTATGAGGTGTCTAAGGGGGAAGTCCAGATGTATGGAAGGGGTGAGATTTGAAGGCAATAATTCTCTTTGAGATGCCTCCATGCTCATGTAGAAAATTCCAGAATCTCTGAGAGTGCTAGCTCTGTGGTATTGTGTGGTTCAGCCTCTGGGAGAGGAAAGAGGGTCTTTTGGGGATTGGGGTGGATGTTTTTTTTTTTTTTTTTTCCCCACTGGCCTGCCCTGTTTGCAGTCTAGAATTTAGGATTGGTGTGGCAAGCAGGGTATTTGGGGACAAAACCCCAAACTATGTTGAAACATGACTTTTTGGGTAAGTGACCGCATTCACATTCCCTCTTTTGGCATTTAAAATGTGCCTTTATTCTCATACACAATTCTTAAATAATCTGGATTTTCCCCCTGTTCTGTGTTCTTGGCTTCCAGGAGTGACAAATAAGGGGTTCCTCCTTTGAAGAGGAACCTTCTCCTTAATGGGGTTCAGCAGGAGGTTAGGCCCTTTGAAGCTCAGGGCAGAAGTGGTTTGGGGGAAATGAGGTCATGGGACTGGACTCCAATTCTGTGAAGTTACTGAGCTTTAAGACGTGCGTGCATGCATGTGTTTGTGTGAAAGTTTTACTTAGATATCTTCTTTTATCATGGAGAACTCTCAAGTAACAGCCTTTTAATTTTAGCTGATGAGATGGATTCCCAGTCATGGCGCAGCCCCTTGAAAGCCATTTCAGAGTTCTTTAAAGGTGACCCGAAGGGTGACTTTATGGAGACAGGTTTGCATTTTTCCATTGGGCTGCTGCTTTAAATTATGTAACCTAAATTCTTCTTGCTGGCCTTACCTCTAAAGTTGGCTTGTAGCTGCCTCACCTGCTTTATTTAATGAGCATGCTATGCTTTGATTAGCCTACCCTGCCATTGACCGATCTTGACTCTCATGTTAAGGACTGCAATCTGGAATCTATCAACACAGTGCATGCCTTGATTATGCTTTAACGTGATCTCTAAGCATCCCCTACAGACATCACATTGAAGGTCTCCTCATCCCATGAGATTGACACCCTCACCTGCCCTGTACCTACATCCCAGCATGCTAGCATTTTATAGTGGTCTTTGCTCAAAAATGATCACAGATCTTGACTGGCCATCCCATTGGTTAACTTTTGCTGTTCAGGGTTCTGGACTTTTGGGCACTTTCTCAGCTACAGAGTAAAAATTGCCACATCCCAAGCATGCCTAACCAGCTTGAAAGGATATAGCATGTCCACAACATGTGCCTTCACCATACACCCTCCAGCAGCAAGCACAGGCAGTCTCCTTAATTATACTCTAGGGCAGACTGAGTGTACTTTAGCCAACCCCAAAAACTAAAGGTGTCTCTTGGGGTCATTTCTGCAACCATGAATTGGGGATCCTGTGATTTCTTAGGCCTATGATTATGGCCTGCTTGCCTTTATGTTACTCATCAGTGGAAACCAATAGCTCTTGGGGATAGATGTGATGCTGTTTCAGACGCAGCCAAAGGTGAAGTGAATTGGAGGCCAAGCAGTCACTCAGACCTCTCATCTCTGTCCTCAGGTCTGGTGGAGCCAGTGAATGTGGTGGATAATGGGGATGGCACACATACGGTGACCTATACCCCATCGCAGGAGGGGCCTTACATGGTCTCAGTTAAATATGCTGATGAAGAGATCCCACGAAGGTAAGTGCCTCTCACCTGAGGCATGGATCTAAACCAGCCTCAAGCCCACCCAGCTGCAGGATTGGCTAGCATTGCTGTGGTAGCCCCACCCACCCACTTACCCATTCATCCAATCAGCAGATTTTATCCTGAACCTGTGTTTTCCACACACATTATACACTAGTTTGTTATTTGTGGTTCCCATTCTGCTGTCCTGCCTTTACTTTTATCCATCTTTAGTTTAAAAGCAAGCTGAAATTAAGAAGATGGGGAATTTTGGAAAAACAAGGAATATATTAGTTTACCAGAAGCTCCCATTTGGTAACTGTGCAAATGGTTTTCTCATTAAGACAAAGGTCTTTACCACTTAATTTGAGAGTCTGGTTGACAGTAAACATTCTCAGAAAGATGTTGGATAGCAGCTTTGTTCCTTGTTTATATCAAAACAAAAAATGTGTAAGTTCTTTAGCTCTGGAATAACATCAAAAATTTTTTAATCATGCCCCTTAAAATGGAAGACTTACCTCTAACCTTAATATATACATTTTATATGGAGATCAAAACATAGCT